CAGACAACAGCAGAAATGTTTATGTGTTTGTGTCGAAGAGCAGGATCATACTTTCTTTAAAAAGAAAAATGTAACCAAAGACACTTATGGAATGAGATCAGATACAGCTCTATCTTTAGTGAACCATAGTCTAGTGCCTCTGTGGCATTTTAAACCTTTGGCTGAGAATGAATACAGCTTTGTGGTTCCCCTGCTTCTGACATGATTTGGTGCTCCCATATATTTGTAGGTTTCTTTTTTTCTTTCATTAGAGCTTGTTTGGCTATAGGGCTGCTTAACACTCTTCTCCAACGGCTTTTGCAAGGTTAAAGGAATGCAGCTTGGTAACAAGTTTGTGTCATTTTAAATATATACCTCCCAGTAAATAAGGAGGAGTCTTGCAATCAATCCCTTTTAGTGTGTTATATGTTTCACCTGACAACTAAACCCTCTATTGATTAACCATTACTTTGTTAGATAATCTTGTGTCATTGAAGCCACTGTAAAAATTAAACTCTTTAAAATGTTTTACCCTAGCAGCAGTGCGAAAATTGAAAACTTGTTCAGAATTACAGCCAGCTTCCACAAAGAGGGTAGTTTTCAACAAACTGGTTTATGTTTGCATGCTTTATATGCAATATAAAAACATATTAAAGCACTCCAACGCAAAGCTATCTGCCTGTAGCGTTGAACCAGGCTACCATTTCAAAATATTTTCCCTTGATGAAGAAACCTCTTATTTTGATGAAAGGTGAGGAGAAACTTGAACAGTTTTGGTGCAGATTAGATGAGATATGTAAAAGGGTCAAGCTTTAAAGGCCAACTTGAGAAATATCCTTCTCTAAGGCTTAGTTTTGGCTTTGATTTTCCTGCTTTTCTTCCAGGTCAGTCAGTGTTCCCATGGGCGTTGGAACAAATGAAAGGAGGTACTCTTACATTGTGGTGTAGCATTTGATACCATCAAATGTTTCACCTAACATGAAGGGCTCTGCATTATTACTTGATGATGTGACATTAATTCTGCTTTCAGAATTCACTAGTCTATTCACTGGACCTATTCACAGAAACTCTGATGTATGAACAATATCAGATGAAACCAAATCTCCATGTCCAGCACCCATTTTGTGTCTCTCAGTAGCCAGTAACTGCTGCCTGAAAAAAAAGCATTTGGACATTACCCTATAGTGCTGCCTTGACAATATAATCTCCAAGCTTCTAATGACCTGGCCTCATGAGCCAGATGCAGCTTCTTTGTAACATTGGCAGTACATTTCAGCTGAGACCTATCAACTAGAGTCACTAGAGTGACGTTATCTCTTCTTCCCCTGGACTTTAAGGGAGAAGTAGGTTTTCTGTGTTTTGCTTTCAGCCCCTTAAAACATATTATAGAACATGCATGTGAATCTTCTTTGCCCTCTTTATTCATCCCACAAAGCTAGTAAGGCATTCTTCAGTGAGAATGTGAAAATAAGAACCTTGTAACTTTGCAACTTTGCAAAGACAGTAATGTATGTCAAACTGACGAGTACTTTATATTTTATTCTCAAATATGCATCCATGATATATATTCTTTTTAATTTTCTCTTTTCCTCTTTTACTGAGAAAAAAAGCTGCTGAAGGACTAAATGGTCGTCTGGTAATGTGGCACATGCATAAATCCTTATGTAATAAAATTACTGTGTAGAAGTTGGCTCTTAGAGTAGAAGCATATTCTTATGTCCTTCTGTGGTTGAAAAGGTTGGGAAGGAGAAGTTGCTTGGCCTATTGTCAAAGGGCAGAGAGGTATATTGATAGTATGAGAATGCCCAGGTCAGTCAGACCCAGAGTCAGCTCATCCACTGCCAACTCCAGCACTGTCAGTGGAAGGTGCTGTTGGATGAGAGCAAAGAAGTCTGGCCTCTCTTGGTACTCCATTTCCCTCCTGTTCCTGCAGCATCTCCTGCTGTTGCAGTAGGGATGTCTGGAGGATATCTGTGCTGAGTATCTATGGAGCTGCTGTCCGTGAGTTTGTTTAGTCCCTTCTTCCACTTCTGATGATGTTTCTCTGCACGAAGCACCACAAGTTCACTGCCAGCTGTGTGAAGAAATATTTAATTTTATCTTTAAATTTATGCTATGCTAGTTCCGTCAAATATCAATAGTCCTGGTATTGTGGGATTTGATGAATAAGTTGTGCTGGAAGTTCAGCTGGTGGTGTTCTCACTGAGATGTGATGTGTGGGTTATTAATAGAGCAATACACTGGAATAATTATTTGTATTTGCATTCTGATATGCATGTAACTTTTGAATAGTGCATAGTGAGCTTCTTTCATTCTCAGAAATGCTGACATCTTTAGGTTTTGCATTTAGTATTTCACATTTTGTATTTGGATTGTCTGCTCTTTCCTATTTGTAAATGTGGAGAAAGCCTCTCGTAAGCCCAGCTTTTAAAAAACTGGCATGCAACCAAGGTTTGTGCATACCTGTCTTGGGAGGAAAAAGACTGACAAGATTTGAGTGCATGGTTCAGTTCACAGAGCCAGACTTCCTTGTTGCTTTCAGTAAGTGTTTTCGTGGCTGAGCTTTTGATCTGCAAAGTGGAGTTAGTAGTAGCTTTCCTCAAGTCAGGGCTCCTCATAAAATTTAATATCAGTATATAGCAGACAAGTTGTGTGGAAACACTGCATATGGAATTTTAGGAATTAAATTGCAAGTGATAAAAATCACAGATTTACAATAAATGGATTAAATTACACAAATGTAAAAACTGAACAAAAAATCTTACCAACTCTTCATGGTTTTCCACCTTCACAATCTAGTTGAGTTTAACTAATACCACGCCTGTAAAATGAAGTTTGCATGGTATTGTCTGAATGTCAGTGCAAAGCAGATAGTGTCAACTTTTTGTCTATCAGTTGGGATGCTATATCTAAGCCCCAGTTTATAGTAGTTTATACCATTCTGATCTTTCTTCTGAGGAGAAAGTTTTATGCATACCAGGGTGATGGTTTTATGATGTTGGCAAGTATTTGCAAGAGGCAGTCAGACTTCTGTTTGCTTGTGGCCTAATCTAGTTTGAATCTGAGCCTCTCCTGCTGAAAGATGCACTTTGTTCGTCTGCACAGCACCTTGAAAGAGTTCGTGTGTTTGAATTTTTCAGTTTCTCCTTCTGGGCCTAGAGTCAGAAATTGCTTTCTGGCTGTTAGTCAAAGCAGGTATCAATGTTGTGACATGTAAAGAGAACTGCTGGAGCCAGAATATTCTGCATTCCTGTCTGTCACTGGTTGTGTTGTGGTTAGAGAGCTCACTGAGAAATAAAACGTGAACCACTAAAGCAATGGAGAAGATAGGGCTTCTGTCATCTCTTATTTCTGTTTTGTGGTGAACTTTAATGGGGCTCTATAAATAGGTAAGGTGGAAAGGACTGTAATTTCCTTAATTTCTCCAATAGTGAATTGTATCATGCTGATCCAGTACAGATCCACCTAAGCCAGTATACTGATTTCCCATGGTGTGCAGTAAGGAATGTTTCATGAGGATCATAGGAACTTAGGTGAATGTTATAAACTGACTGGGAACACTGGCTTTGGGGACACATCTCCTATTGCTCAGCATAAACCCCTTTTAATCTCTTTGCCTTCTTGCCTCTGACATCCTTTGCCATGTGCTCCTCTGCCAGTTTTTGTGTTGCTGCTGACAACATTTTGCACAGAGTCAGGCCTCTGGCAGAGGGGCAAGAGAGGGAGATTTGTTTTTTGATGTTTGACACTGAGGGAATCTGGCTCTGGTGATGGAGCTTTGAGGCAGAGGGGGAAGTTTAGGAGCCCTTAACATGCCAGTGTTCTCCACAGGTTTTGTAACCTGTAGCAGGTTTGGGGTTGAAGTAATTTCAAATCAAGCAAATAGAAATCGTTGCAAGCCCTGAGAAAAACATCTCCAGAGATTGCCAGTGAGTATTACAGGGAGAGAACTGACAGGCAGCTCACTACAAGTCTTTGTGCATCCTCCCACTAAGGCAATCTTAAAAATATCATGAATGTTAGTGTGCTTTACTTAGCACTCTTGAAAATGTCTTTATAACAAGTTTAATTTCATTCTCTTTCAGCATCTTTTTTGGGTTTTCCCCAGGCAACTATTTGAGGTGGCAACATCTTCTCTATGGTCCACTTTCTGCTCTTGAAACAAACCAAGTTGGTGCTTGCTTTTGAGCTGCCACTTTTGCATGGGAGCATTTTTCTGTAAATGGTGGCAGGTGTATTAATCCCATACTGAAGCTCTTAGATGCAAGGGTGCTGGGGATTAGGAGGAGAGCCTCCATTAGGAGCTCCTGAGTTCTTCAGGAACTTCATATTAGTTCTTCATATTAAACAGCCAAATCAACCAAATTAGAATTCTAAGCCCACTTTTTAAGTATTGTTCATACACTGCCCTCAGAAGGGAGAGAGACTACGAGTGATGTGTTTTGCAAAGACTCTGAAGTCTGCAGCCCCAACTGGGGGTCACTTGGGCAGGACAGCATTAAAGAAAAAATACATTCTACTTTAAAAAAATAAAGCTTTACATAACCGAGAAGATTAAATACAACAATGAAATGTAGTCTGCATTTGCTGCTTTCTGCTTTTAACCTTCATTGTGTCCCATGTATTTTACATTTTGTATTTTGATAAAGTCAGATATTTATTCACATTCCCTGATAACTAGTGTGTAGGAATCACCTTGCTTTAGTTGTTCCATTATGCAGCATTTTGTGAAAGAACAAAAACTGAGATGAGATTTTTTTCCATTTTCAAAGGAACAGAGAAGAAAAATCTTTTTCTATGTATTTCTGTACTGTAAAATTGTACATAGCTTCTCAGAGGACATGCATGCCCTGAACATAGACTTTTACTACAAACTAGTTTATTTTAGCTTGAAACATTTACATCTTAGAAAAGGGAAATGTAGTAGAGTAGTACAGTTAGTGTAGGTTCCTGTGCCAAAAATGTGGTGCCTGAAAGAAAATTGTGTTCTTCTATTCATAACCATTTTAATCTTTCTGCAGACCTACAACAGCTGTGCCAGACTGTGCTTAAACCAGGAAACAGTATGTCTAGGAAGCACTGCTATGAAGACTGAAAATTGTGTGGCCAAAGTAAGTAAGAGAACGGCTTTGGTTTTGAGGGATTTTTAGCAAATTGTTCATTGTTAGTCAACGAAAAGTTCTTGTTAAATATTAAAGTTAGGAAAAAATATTTAAGCAAAATCAAGTCTTTTGGGTAAGCTTTTCTGTCCTTCAGTGTAGAGATTTTAGACTTGCTGTTTTTCTCTGCTGGAAATGATTGCTTGAGTCCTCAGCTATGTAGGATTGAAGGGTTCATTCTGCTATACAAGTAATAGACTTTTCCAGTGGGATGACCTATGCCAGCCATGTAATTAGCTGTGGCAACTTCAAATGATAAATGTCCAGATACATATTAGAAATACGGCATGAGAGCTCTTTCTATCATGGTTCCCTTTCTTAGCTACCAGATGGGAGGTGCAAAAAGACTTTTCAATTAAAATACAGTGAACACTGTACTTAAAGGAAAGGGACAAGGGAGATATTACAGTCAGAATGGTAAGAAAATGAATTGATTAGCCTGTCACGGAAAAGTAATTTCATGACAACTGAGGTAGATGTGATTGGAAAAGATGAGGGGCCATTAGCCACCCTCTTTTCTTAGAATGGAGCATAACTAGAGTAAAACAATGTACAGCTTGGTCTGTTTGTGAATGGAAGACATTTAAACCATGATGATGTGTGGAAAGGCTGCGGTGAAGGATGCGTTTAGCCTTGTGCAAGCTTTGTATTTCCACTGAAAGGAAGTTTAGAATGGGCATGCAGGACAGATCAGTGCATGCAGCCATCTGTTACTGAAACCAGCTGGCATTTTGTTGCTCCTCTGTCACCACAAACCTGACCACTCAAAAGCCTGTTTTCTCTTTCAGTTATTATTCCTTGATCTTCTTGAAGTCCATTTCTTCCATACTTTGAATGGTTGTTAAAGGTACCTTGTCCCTTCAGGGGCCACTTTTGTATTGACCTTTAAGATAATTTCCAAGCTAAATCTTCACTGGGATTTTGCTGGTGAAATTTGGATGTCCCATTACTTTTGAGTCTTGTCAGGAAACTGTTGACCATAGAAGTTTGTAATGGTGCTTGCAGGTGGCTTAGCACTCATAAACTGTGCTTGACATGCCAGTTACCTTCCACTGGAGAAGGACTTCTGAGAGAAGCTACCAGTTCTGGTACAAAGTCCTGGTAGAAAGTTTAATACCAGCACTTCCATTCTTAATATGACTGGTCTTGCACACTGCTTCCTAGGGTGCTTTATGATACAGATTAGGTGAAACTCTTTAAGCAGAGCAGCTCTGGCTGAGTTGTCTCATCATAGAGCATCATTCTGATGCCATAAAGCAGCTCATAGCAAACTCATGGGAGTAAACCCATTCAACCTCATCTGCTCTACAGTGTCCTGTTTGACCTGATTGCCTCACTAAGGAGCAAGGGTGTGCAAGAAGTACAGCTAATTTAAGTGGTGCCTCTTTTAAATAAAATCGCGTACTTTAACAACGTCACATCCTAACTAATAGCTCTCCAAAAGTTATGTTTTAAGCATGTTTTTGGTGAGAGGTATGAGTAGGGCTTAAGGCAGGAGCAGAAAGACTTGTTTCATGCTATTGAGGATGAATTTGAGACGTCATCCTGGAGATAAAAAGGTGTATGTTTTTGAAGTATCATGTCTCTATATGCTGTAGGGCAACATATGTGTATATATACTCTTGGACAGTCTGCCTTTATATATATGTATGGAAAACCATATATAAACACATATATGCATATATACATGCACATGCATGTATATATATATATGAAATACAGATATGTTTCTCTAAAAAAACATAAGGACTTTTCTGGGGCTATAATTCCTCTAGTAGTAGCTTGCCTGGCTGTTGTACTCCTTTCCTTTGCTTTCCTATATACAAACCAAAATGAAGGCGGTTCTAAGAAAGCTTGTCTTTCAAATTCCAGAAGTGTCAAAGCCCTTATAAATCCAGCTATCTAAATGCAGATGGTTCAGTGGTGGCACAGGCAAATGGCACAACTGTTAAATGTTCCCTAGGTGAAGGGCTTAAATGGGATTTAGGGAGTCCAGAGGCCTTCTCCTACCACATGCACACAGCGAGTTTTATCCTCTATGATTGATGTATTTTATAGCCTTGGACTTTAAAATGTTTTTTTCAGGAAGGTGAATACTGGAAGGTGCTGCAGTTTTCATTATCTGCAGCACTTTTTCAAACATATTGTAGAGGTTTCAAATTTTTTTTTTAACCTGCTGTGAAACACAGGTTTACTTTGGAAATCATGATTTACTTTTTCTGGTTCTGCAGTGCAGTATTAGCTCTGACTGGGAGCCACTGTCTGCATTATCACCTGCTTGTCAGATGTGTCAGTCAGTCTGCAAGAGACAATGGTTCTTCTGAAAACTAAATTTTTGATTCTACTGTGTGCTTGACATTTCTAAAAGTTTGTTCAAAGAATGAAATTCAGTTACCCTTGAGGCCACACATATCAGTACTGAGGTATCTTCTCTCAGACTGGAACACTGTCCATTTGTTAAACTCTCTTGTGAACGAGTGCTTCTGTACAGGACATCCAGTGTAAACTAGCAACCTAACAACTGGCATTCTTCCTAAAATAGAGGGGGGAAAAATACAGATGTAGAAAGCAGCATAGGGCTGTATTTTGATCACTCCAGGACGTTTGTCTGTCTGGTTTTGTGTACAGTGTCGTGCTGCCTCTGCAGCCAGGTGCTCAGTGCCTTTTGCTAATCTATGAATTAACTAGTTTTATACAGACATTTTAAAATAAGCTAGAATATAATATTCTGGTGAATCTTAGTGTCCTCTTCTTAGCCCTTCTTTTCTGGCATTTGTCCTCTGAAACTCCATTGATAGGACTTGGACACATTTGGGTAAAAGCAAATAAGGAGCATTAGAAATTATTTCAAGTGTGTGCGTGTTTTGACTGAAGAGCCAGGATCTTAAATTAAAAATTATACATTGATGCACATATTTCACATGTGTGATCTGTAATGTCATTTCTCTCCCATGTGACAGAATTTTTCTGTTATTTTTTGTCATCTTTTTGCCCACTGCCTTTGAGTGATCAATTCTGATATATATTCAAGCTAGTGTCTTTTGAAAGGAAATGTAATCTCTGATTGTGTTTTTACATGTGTGTGTACACACAAAGGCACATTTGTAAAAATTCCTTCTTTTTGTTTCTTTAGAAACCAAAAAATCACTGCAAAAGGGTTTCTTTTAATGATACTACTGGTGTGCCACCACAAGTGGACATCTTCCTCAGGAATTGGTGTTAGGTGCTTAAATAAGGTAGAAATGTAGCATGGACCTGGGCTCCAAGGACAGGGTGTTTGATTTTAATGAGGCTTATTGAAATCTGGCCAAATGAGCATCTGTTCCTATTGTTTGTTCCATATTTTGTAAGCCAGTATCTTCAGGCAGATAACGGTGTTGGTGTGTGCTTCATCCTCAATTAGAGAGGGACATAGTTAAAAGTCCCCTGGCATCTGGTGTGTCACAAGGATTCTTTTGATGCTCCTGAGTGTGCAAACAAGTTTCTCTTCTGCTCTGTACCCAGGAAATCTTTCTGTGGTGACCTTCACACTTCATACTTGATGTGTGGTGAGGGATGCTCTGGTATGTCACTAGTCTCTTTGGGCGAGTCTTTGCTTGGATGGATTATATACAGTCCTGTTTTCGAACAGAGGTCTTACCTTTTCACCCTTTCATTATGTGGTGTGTTAGGTCTGAGTTTTGCTGTTTGCTTCGAGTATTTTAGATTTTGCATTTCCCTGGATCCTGGAAATACCCTTTTGGTTCCAAGTGCTCTTTTCTTTCCCAACAAGAGATTGGTGTATAGCTGATCTCAGAGTTCTGCAGTCAATACCCATTTCCTCCATTCATTAGATAGATCTTACTGTTTATTAACTCCTGCAGTTGGTTCCAGTTCATCTGTATCTCCTGTACAAAGGAGCATTCACAGTTTCACTTTGCACATTGAATTCTCTCCTACTTGTGACAGACACAGATCCTCTCTGGCATCCCTGTGAGAGACAGCACTGATGAGACACCTTCAAAATGGTATGCAGCATCCCCAGGTTTCTCCTTAGTTCTGAACTCAGCAGCAGCAGCAGTTGGGAGAGGTTCTCTGCCTCTACCTTGATCTAACTAAGATTGGAAGAAGAAAAATATAGTCACGCACGCCACCCTTGAAAAATCAGAATTCTGTTTCAGACCACTGCTTGCTACTCACATTTGATAACTGTTCTTGCTTCTTAAGGTCCTGGCAAACTAAGGGACTTCTCAAGATCTTTTAAGCATTTTCATCTTCTACAGAATCTTTGCTGTTCATCATACTTCTAAACAGAGCTCTGCTGTGCTCAATTCTGGAAACACAGAACAGGCCATGGCACTTCCAGCACATTATGTGAAATTTCCTTTCAGAGACGCAACTTACGATTTAGCTATAGCTACATATTTTACACTCAAGGGTGATTCAGCTAAAGCAAGGAGTGGTAGAAATAGCTGGTAATTGAAATCTTCTTTCCTTTGTCAGTTCTTTCTGCATCACTACTTTCGAATTTTTAGTACAAACATAGTCTGCACAATAATAACATTAAGTCTGGGATTTTTATATGAATTTAAAGGAGAAGCCACTAGCACTCTTTAATAAAGAAGCATTTAGGGTTCCAGGCTGGATGTTCCAGTTGGCAGTAGGACAAATTGATCTGAAGATGTCCCTCTTGTACTCTCAAGTCCCTTTATGTCACAGATTGATGGCCCTTTTTTTCCAGAGAGTGTGTCTGCATTTACTTTGCATGAATAGCACAACCAGCTCAAGAGTTCTGCTGTGATGTACCACTGAGTCAGTATATCTTCAGATAATGCATAGTTTTCCAGTGCTGTTGAAGCCTTTCCAGTCCCTGAGATTGAAATTAGAGCAATTTAATAATGAACATGTGTTATTTGACTAGCAACATTCAGTTTCCTGATACTTGTTCTACTGTTTTAGTAGGAAAGTAGTGT